CCCCAAAACCCCAAAACCCCAAAACCCCAAAACCCCAAAACCCCTAGTCTTCAATACTTGATTGAAATATATTATCTAATTCTTGAGCCTCATCATAAACTTGATATCAGAGTCTTTCTTTGTCACCTTTGAGACAGCAAGTTCAAAGTCTTCTTGAGTTACATGGATTCTTCTTTCTCTGAGAGCATACATTCCTGCCTCTGTACAAACAGCTTTTGTCTCTGCACCTGATGCTCCTGGCATTGATGCTGCAATCTTCTTGAGATCAATTCCTCTCATTAAGTTCATTTTTCTACTGTGGATCTTCAGAATATCTAATCTTGCATCCTCATTTGGATTAGGGAATTCAATCTTTCTATCAATTCTACCTGGTCTCAATAAAGCACTATCAAGAATATCAATTCTGTTTGTAGCCATAATAACTTTGATCTTGTTTGTTGCTTCAAATCCATCAAGCTGATTCAAAAGCTCAAGCATTGTTCTCTGCACTTCTGAGTCACCTCTGCTTCCTTCTTGCCTTGATCCTCCAATGGAATCAATCTCATCCATGAAAATGATAGATGGAGCATGCTCTCTTGCCATCACGAAGAGTTCTCTGACCATTTTAGCTCCTTCTCCAATATATTTCTGTACAAGTTCTGACCCAGATACTCTGATAAAGCAACAGTCTGTGTGATGAGCTACAGCTCTTGCAAGCAAAGTCTTTCCTGTACCTGGAGGACCGTAAAGTAAAACTCCTTTAGGTTGAGCAATTCCTAAACTTTCAAAGATTTCTGGATGCTTAATTGGCAATTCGATAACTTCTTTGACTTCTTTAATTTGTTGGTCTAGTCCTCCAATCATATCGTAGGTCGAATCTGGCACCTTCTCAACCTTCATCAAAGAAACAAGTGCATCAACTTTGCTTGGAAGAATCTCATGAAGAATGTATGAATCTGATTTAAGAGCAACTCTAGTATTAGCCTTAAGTTTTTCTTGTGGAATTTTCTTGTCAATATCAACAACATATTTTCCTTCTGGTCCAAGCTTAACAAGAGCTTTATTTTTACCCATCAATTTAACAACTTCTCCAACATTTGATCCTGGTTCTTCAAGAAGTGTTATCTCTTCTTTCAATTTTTTTACTGCATCATTAAGTTCATTTCTTTGGGCTTCAAGTCTCTTTAAGTTAGTTTTCTTGGCTCTCAATTTTTGGTGATACTATACAGAGTAAGATGAGTGTTTAAAACAATGCTTACCTCCTCAATTTTAGCTTTGTAGTAATCTCTCATTCCTTTCCTTTCTTCATCTGGCTTGGTCACCACAGGAGGTTCTTTGAACAACATATTTAAGATCAAAAATTAATTATTATATGACTCAACCAAATTTAATATAAAAGGGGTTTTGGGGTTTTGGGGTTTTGGGGTTTTGGGG